AGGCGAATCGCTCTTCCTTGCCATTGATATGGAATTTGATTTCTCCGGCTCCGACATCAATGTGCGCATTTGTAGTGCTCAGGAAAGGTCTCCCAAGTATGAGGGGTGCCTTCATGTCCTCCTGCATATCAAGTACTACAAAATCCACTAGAACAAAGAAATTTCTTATTTTTACCGGAATATTTTTGGCGATTCCTGCATTGTAGCAAACCGATTGGTCGGCTAGTTGTAGGCACATCGATGTTGGCGTGAGTGTTGAATAGTTGATCTTGTCGAAAACATTCTTGGGCATGACACTAACACTTGCTCCAAGATCGCATAGCGCATTCTCAAAATTCTGGTTTTCGATCGAACAGTCGATAGTGGGACATCCTAGATCCTTCTTCTTGATAAGTGATGTGTTCAGGATGGCCGCACTACACTCCTGCGTTAACTTGATTACCTCAGTGGTGGGCAGTGGTCTTTTATTGTTGAGGATGTCTCGGAGATACTTCGCATAGGTAGGTACCTGTATGGCATCTAGCAGAGGAATATTGATATATAACTTTTAAATTACCTCTACAAACTTACCAAACTACTCATTCATTTTAGCTTTTCGATTTCTACGTGGAAATGGTAGGAAGGTGGTGTCATGAAAATCTTGCACCATTTCCTGTGCTTGTGGCTCAACTTCATCATCTTCATCATCCTTCTTCTCCTCTTGTACTGCCGCCGGTGTCTTACCTGTCCTTGTCAAATATGGCGGATCACGAGTAGACTTGCCACCTCTTGTGGTTATGGCATTGACCTTCTCAAGGTTAGTGGCAAAAGGCATAGCAACAACTAATTGAGCTTCTATCTTTTTGTTATAGCTAAGTTGGTCTTTTATAGCAGAAGAAAAACTTATCCATTTTAGTGTTTATGTTTTCAAGGACCTTATCATTAGAAGCAAGCTTCTTACAAATATTTTCATTAATCCTAGCTTGTTCTAAGATTAGATCTCTCAAGGATGGTTGTTTAGGATTAGAAAAATTATAATAATTACCTAGGTACTTACCTTAGTAAGTTGATCGTTGTTGATTTCATCCTTGTCTCTATTGTTGTGGAGCAGAATTGTTGTCGACAATATTTGCATCCTCTTGATATTCGGGGAAATCAACCCCCAAATATTCTCCACGGGTGTTTTGAGCATTGAAAGCATCTTGTATGGTCTGACGATCTTTCTTGTAATTGGCTCGTTGTTCAAGCCAATTCAACAGTACGTTCATCTTGGTTGACAATGCACACACCTCTTCTGGTACTTCTTCGCTCTTATTGCATGATTGAATATTGCATTGAGACCAGCCTTGATTAGAGGCTATCTTCTACATAAGAGTTTCAGCTTTTCCAAGGGTGAGTTAATCCATGGTAAAAGCTTTGCATGAGCAACCAATCTTCCATCCCATGTTGAGAACAATCTGAAATGTATTCTTAGAAACGTTTCCATGCTTCTGAAATGGTTTCTCCTTTTTGATGTTGGAAATTGGAAATATTTCCTCTTAAGGCATTGGTCTTGCCTATAGGGAAGAACTTTTCTAGGAAGGCCTTTGAACACTTTGCCCATGTGTTAATGTTATCCTTATTGGTGTAGAACCACTGCTTCACCCTTCCCACTAGTGAGAATGGAAACAGGCGGAGTAGTATAATGTCTTGAGCAACGTCCTTGATGGTGATTGTGCTGCTAATCTCCAGGAAATTCTAAAGATGAGCACTAGCATCTTCATGTGCCTTTTCGCTAAATGGGGTAGCTTGCACCATGTTTATGAGGCTTGGCTTGAGCTTAAACTCAAGGTTGTTGGTTTAGAGTGTTGGTCCAGTGCGAATGTTTTCGGTGCTTGGAGCAAAGAATTCACGCAGAGTCTTTTTAGCCATAGCTTTAGAAACTAGTGTTGAGCTTCCTCTTGATTGGTTTGATTGTGATTGATGGAATTTGTTGATAAATCAGAACCAATCCTGCAATACCTTGTATAAGATATGAACAAAGACAAACAAGGGTAAGCCTGCTAAAGCAGAGGTTTTATGATTTCATCAATAAGTATTTATTTGATCAATTCTCTTAGCCATGTGCCCTCCCCGGCAATGGTGCTAGAAATGCTTATTGGTATTTCTTAGCATCACTCTTTACTAAGTTGTCATCCCTAGCATGATGCTAGAAATACGTTGTTGGTAATTATTAAGAACACTTGTAAATATATATATTAAGTAATCCGCAAGCGCACAGATAATATACAATTGTAGCATTTTACCCGGGAGTATACCAAGTATCGTTATTTATATTTTGTCCACAGGGAGGAGCTATGGGGTTGGCACAGAGATATTGACAAATATGTGTACTTCTGATAAGATCATCACTCTCATGCTATTGCAGGGGTAAGTCAAGTGATAAATAAATGATAAGAGTAAGGTGTTGATTGTATTCCAAAGATAGAAACAGATACTCATAAATGTAGTATTGCTAAGCAAGAGATTAGTTAAGAGCAAAAGATTCCTAAGTCATTCCTTATTTACTAAGTCTTTTGTACACCCAAGTATATACACTCTCATCTATAGCATAATTAACTTTGGATCTACGCATAAGGAACATTACTAAGGAAGATCAAGAACAGAGCTTGACTCCCTTCGCAACCGGGTTCTACTTGCTCTACAAATGGGGAGTGGGCTACAAAGGACTCAACGGGAGTGTCACATCTGCGATCTACCATATGACTTAGAGTGTAGAATGCATCCGCAGGGTAAACTATATTTAAGCACCACACTTACATAATATCGACCACTTAACTCACTCGAGTATTGAGCTAAGCGCTTTGCGAACATATGCATATATTCATTATCAATCATAACTATATCAAGCATATAACTAGAGCAAACTAGGAACATAATAAATAGCAACATAATATTAAAGTAGCACAAACTCACAAATAAAGAGAGGTACAATATCCGAAATCATGAGCAATAGCCCAAACTCTACTTGAACCTTGCTAGCTAGCCTATACTAGAACTTTGAAGAATTGGAGCTCCATTCTCTTCTCTCTGGAAACCCTAAATTCTGGTTTGATCTTAACTTATGGCAGATTGCAGATGCTGAGGGAGGGGGAAAAGGGTTGGTATATATAGGCCGGAGCGTCAATCCTGAGCCCTCGGATCAAACCGACTTGAATAAGCGGCGTAGATGCAATCCTTAAGGCGGTGGAGAACCGACATAGCAAGGCGGAGACCGATGGGTGGGCCTAGGGGCCAGCCGGTCTATAGGTGGGGCCGGCCGCCCCCACCTGTCATCCCCTTCATGTCTACTTCAGTGGCGTGGCTTCTAGTGTCCTCTAGAACCTTCTAGAGTTGTTTACGTGATGGATAAGCGCGATTTACTTTGATGTTTTGATCCCTCTTGACGGTTTTCTAGATAAACCCTGCTGAAAACTATAAATTCACCAAAACTCGTGGAAATTGTCAGTTTAAACCCCTAAGTCTATGTTGGTGATCATTTCCATGCATGATTTCAAGTTATATTGATGGTTTATGATGGATGGTAACTACCGTCAACAGAGTACACAAAAACATGCTTCCATTTAGAACCACCAAAAATTCTGCTCCTACACTAGGGAGTAGACAAAAGAATGTCTTAGAAATAAATACTCCATGTTCTACAAAATAGTGATCTCTCTCTCAATATGTGGTTTAAGAGACATGTGCTATGCAAAAGTATGTGAGAAAAGAAAAAAAGGACACATGAAGGTCCCAAAGAAAAAAATGGACACATGAATGTCCAAATATAAAAATAAAAAAATGATGAGCGCAAGAAGGCTCTTGTGAAAAAAGAGAAAGAAGATAGCCATGTTCTCAAAATAAAACTTATGAGAGAGATCACTCATATCAAGGAGTATAGTATAGGTTTAACATTGTTTTATCCACATACTTGCACTTCTTGATCTAAGGGTATGACATCTTTTCTCCTTGAATCCAAGATTTGACTTAACAAAATATGCAAAGTAAGTATGCCATCATATCTTTCCCTACCCAAAGATCCATATAAGCTATTAGAAGTAGGCAACACTAAGATATGCCTTGGTGAGGAACCAAACACAACTTTGAGTGATTTGAGAGAATCATTTGAGGAGCTAAGCTATGTTTACATTTTCAAAATCAAATGAAAACCCAAGTTTCTCAACTAATTGATGCAAGGGGATTTGAATCCATGCTGTTCCATTATTCAATTACCCAAGATAATGTGGTAGACACTTCAAAGTTCACAGGTGCAGCTGAAGCTTGGAATAATTTATGCAGATATCATATCAAAGGAGATGACCCATCTTTGTCCTAAAACTTTACTCGAGGACGAGCAAAGGGCTAAGTGTGGGGGAGTTGTTGGCGGTCCTTAACTCACACTTTTAACCGCCAACATTTACATAAAAACCATTCAAACGGTAACCAAACTTAGGATTAGGGCTTACAACTCACAAGTTCCACTAGTTTTGGTGAATTACCTTTTGCAGGATAACCTACATGAAAAGCATGGAAATACGACAAGAATACGCAATCATGCAAAGCGTATTTCCATCCTGCACATAGCCAAAGAAAAGAGGCCCAGTCACTAGGCAAATCAAGGCCCGAACATGAGGAGAATCTTGCCAAAAGCCCAAACAACCAATGCATCTGGGCAGAACACCAACGCAGGGGAGGTCCAGGCCCACAAAGCAACCGACTAGAGGAAGGCGGTCGTGAGGCGGCTCCACCTGGGTGCGGCCGCACCCAGGGTGCACCCGCACCCCTGCCACCGCCTCCCAGGCGCCGCACCTAGGGTCATGGTGCGGCAAGTTCACCGCCGGCGCCCTGCACCCACCGTTGCGGGGTGGGCGCGTTTGCATAGGTGGATGATCATCCAGGATCCCCATCGCCCAGTCAAACGGGACAAACGTTGGTGTCGAGCTTCCATGCTCTGAGGAGGTCCCAGAGCTCGACGTCCCTGGAGACCTAGGCTTCCAGTCCTCCTACCCCACCAGGTGAATCAAGATGGCCTTGTCGCCAAACTTACCCATCGGTGGCGTGGGCGGGATGCGGGTGGGGGATGGCAGGTCGAGGATGTCCATAGCCTGTCCCGCCTTCGCCACGAAGTACCAGTACTCCATGGCCTTGGGGAGGACGTCTGGAGTCTCCATCCACACCAAGCAGGTGAGGAACTGCGAGGACTCCCTTATCTCCCTCGACGTCATGTGGCTGTCGAGCTTGTCGAAGATGCACGCGTCGCCAAGGATCAACTTGACACCGTCCTCGTTCCATGCCTCCAGAGGAACGTTCTCCAATGTCACCTTGACATGGTACCACCAAATCATCTCGGCAGCACCACCAGCAGAACGCCAAGGCCTGATGGACAGGGGCGAGCCACCAATGTTGATGGATCTCTTGAAGACGGTCTACCACATCATTTTCCTTCTCTTCATTATTCGTGAGAAGCATTGAGCATTGTGACAAGTGCTGGATTCTCCTCTTATATAGGAGTAGTCGACAAAAATAGGTAAAATCTTATGGATACTACATACACAGAGCTATGTCTGCTAACCAAAGAAATTCAAGTGACGTCAATGGAAGATGGACATATTTAGTTACCGTGATTTTAGTGAATTTATCCAGTTTTCTACTACTAAGATCATTTAAATTTGATCAATTCTAGAATTGTCCCCCCCCCTTCTTGGCTCAAAGGGCGGGAGTAAGCATTTTTCTACTACTCTCCGTTTCAAATTATAAGGCATTATAAGAATCTTAGAGAGTCAAAGCATGTCAAATTTGACCAAAATTATAGAGAGAAATACAAAGATTTACGATATCAAATATGTATACTATGAAAATATAATTGATAAAGAATCTAATGATACTTAGTTTGTATCATATATGTTATTATTTTATTACATAAATTTTGTTAAACTTGAGATGCTTTGACTCACCAAGATTTTTAGAATGACTTATAATTTGGGGCGGAGGGAGTATTACCTTTATCCTAAAAACAATGTAAATCTCTTTGTTCGTGGAGCCCATCATTTTAAATTTTGACTAGTTCTATAGAAAATAATATTAATATTTTTTATATTTAAATAAGTTTATTATGAAAATATTACATAATTAATCTAAAGATACTTATAACACATCTTAATATTTAATATCTTTTGTATATGTTTAATTAAATTTGAAATTGATTGATTTCTCAAAAAATGAGATTGATTTATATTATTTGTTGGACTGAGGAAATAGAATAAATAAATGTCTTGCTGTCGTGCTAAATATAGCCAATTTTCTTTCACTTTTTTTTTTAGGTTAACTGGAGGAGCAAGGAGCCCCAACAGCATTAAAATTGCATTAAACGAAAACAGGGTAGTAACAGTACAGTACAATCAGGTGACTGAGAAGGAATTTTTCTTCCTTTTCTTTTTACCTACTGTATGTGCGCAGTAAAAAGGTTTGGTTTTGGATCACCTGGTCACCTCGTCCAATACAATAACTGAAACTCGTCGGTCGTCACCAGCCAAACTTTACTTACAACATGCACTACCGTGTCATCCAAATTTTGATATTTATATCTCAGAACTTATTGATAAGAATAACTAAAATTTATTTAATCCTAACGAGAGGATCCACCGTCTCCACAACAAGCTAGAGAAATCATCATGCAAATAAACTGGAACAGATAAATATATGGTATAATGATCGATGCAGCTAGATTTAGGATCGATGAGATTCAATTGAACTCATGGATGCTCGAGTGGCTTGTTGGATTCCTAATAGCTATCAGGATGTTTCAACGGCGGCGACTTGGCCTCTGCGTCGGCAATCATTCAGAATGTTGACGTAGAACTGGCACCTGCTGATGTCGCTCCCATGCTGGTCGATGCACTGCACGTATATGCATATTTATACATGAGGTCAGATCCATGCAAGCAAAATTAACATTCAGATACTATGTATATATGTACGTGAAACAACACAAAATAAATTAGGCTTTGTTTGGATGCATGTGTATTCACTTCAATCCACATGTATTGGAGTGAAATGAAATTGAATGAAACTTAGTTTAATTCCACTCCAATCCACATCGACACATGTGGATTAAGATGAATACATGCATATCAAACAAGGCCTAAAGAAGCAGACATACGTCTTGGAAGGCCATGGCATGGATTTGGCAGGGGTTAGATGGCGACGACGCCGCATCATCATCGGCACCACCAGCAATGGCACTGGTAGTAGTAGCAGCAGCAGCAGTGTGTTCGATGCGGAAGGTACGGGGGCCAAGGACATCATACATGGCCCTGTTTGCCATGGCCCAACTGGTGGACAAACCCATCCCTTAGCAAAGGCAGATGCGACGTTGCCCAACACAGAGCAGCCGCCGGTAGTAGTTGCCGAGCAGGAGTGCCGCCGCCAACCTTGGCCGCCGCAACGGAACGCATGCATGCAATAGCACAATGTTATAACATGTAGTTCTTCCTTGTAAAAAAATGCCATACATGCATGTATGCATATTAGCTAGTTGTTGACAACCAAAATTGTCCATTTTATAAAGTTGTCAAAATGTGGGGACGGACTTCACCATTGCGTTCCTCTCGTCGACACGGTCAAAAAACATATATGGAACGTCTAATTCGGAGCCCGGATGAAGGAGTTACGTCCCCGGAAAGATGCTCCGTTGTCGGGAGTTCTGACCCAAGTTGGAACTTCCCAACAGGTGTCAGGACTTCTAGCAAGCCTGAAGAAACCTGCTCAGGTGTTTGGGGTTATCCCCACATTGGGAGTTCCGACCAAGGTCAAAAGTTCCGACTGTCGGGATTTCCGATCCAAGTCATGACTTCCGACAGACATAACAAAAAACCCTATTCGGATTTGGCCTTTTAGATTATGATCTGAACTGTTCCAAACTTGTGGAAAACTTAGAAAATAAGACTTGGAGATGTTTTCTACTAGGATAAGACCACCCCTCTATATATGAGAGGATTATGGCCGATTGAGTTCCCATCTATCCAATCGTCAAATAAATCAATCTACTACATCTACTCTAACCCTTTTACCCTCTTCTCCGACCCTCATGATGTTCATCCCTTGATCCAATGACTAAGGATGGAGCCCTAGGCTTGTCGGCCGACCAAGGGCAACCCGACGACGTCCTTGCCTTGACGGGGTCCCTCTCGGGCGACAGTTTCGATGGTTTCTTTACTAGTTTGCCTGAAAATTAGTCGGTTCTTCGTCACGCAAGCACGTTGGTTATCCTTTGGTGGTTTGCTTGTAAACCTCTCCATTCCTCACCACGAAAGAGTGACTTACTTGCTGCGTTCTTCGGTCCGTAGCGGCTCTGGAGTCCAAGGCCCTACTGGTGTGTGATTCGGGTCACTTCCGATGTCAACACACTTTTTAGCGACTCCGCTGGTGACGATTGGTTTGGCTATTTGTTATAGCCGATCTCTCTGACCTAGCCTTACTTTAAGCTAATCTATCTTCTCATGCTCGTTATTATCATTGCATTTGGCCCAAAAGGCCGATCGCATCTAGTTTTGACCCCTTGTGTTCTCGTTTGTTATTTTGCAACGTGTTGCACTTGCTATTGGAAAATTCAGCAAGGCGGTCAAGTTCTAAATCATGGAGTACCAAGATGTTGCATCATAATATTACTACAATCACCCTGAGGTACAGCTTGCAAATACATCTTATGATCCCAATAGTTATTTTGTAAGTTCTATGAGCTCTCATGTTGATGTTGCTAGCTGTAATGATACTACATATCTTGCATCGGCTAATACTTTTGATAATGCTCCTCATTATACACATCATAATTATGGATATTATGGTCAAGAGCCGATGCATGTTGTAAATTCTTCAAGTTTTGATGCTACTAGCAACATACAACATGTAAATTATTATTCATCGGCTATAAGTTCACAATATGTGGTTCCACCACAAGACATGTCGATGAATGAGAGAATTGGCTATAACAATGCTAATTATTTAGCCAATTACTCTAAAAATTCAGCATCATATGCCAATGCTCCTATTCATAATTCGGCTCCATATGTTACTCCTAACTTGAGCCGAATTAATAAAAATTCAGCAAGGTGTTTAAATGCTAATACTCATGATTTTGCTTCACATGTTACTAGTAACCATAGCCGAATCAATGAAAATTCAGCAATGTTTGCACATATAAATAGTCATCATTCGGCTTCATATGTTGCTCTCAAATCAAGCCGAATCGATGAAGATTTAGCCCATGCTTGGAATCCATATGGTTCCTTGAAATGGAAGGTGCCCACTTATCATAGACCGTACCCATTATGCTATGATTACTTGAAAACTTCTAATGGTTGGTGGGTACCTGATTTTTATGAATTTAGTGGTCAAGATGATAAAACCGCTATGGAACATATTAGTATATATCTCTCACAGCTGGATTTTGCCGGTAAAGAAGACTATATGAGAGTACGAAATTTAACTTTATCTCTCACCGGTATTGCCTTTGCATGGTTTACATCTTTGCCGCAATGTACTATTGGTTTATGGTCTCAATTAGAGAAGAAATTCTATGAATATTTTGGAAAGACTAATGAGAAAAGGCCAATCACTGTTGAGTCATCGGCTAAAAGAGGATTGCTAGTGGACATGAAAGAAAGAATTGATTCGGATGTAAGCAAAGGTTCGGCTATAAAAGCTGAACAACACAATATCCTTTCCGAATAAATCACATCTTAAAAAACAAGTTTTGCTACAGAAAAGCATGGAAAATGTCAGAAACCAGCTAGACTTGATTTTTCAGGAGCTAAAGGGGTTGTACACTTATCTAGTGATTACCGCATCATTGATGGAGATCAAGCCCCTACAAGCAACAAAGGAGGGCTGCATGTCTGCTCAGAATCGGCTGAGGCGACTTCAAAGTTGGCTGAGCTGATTGCTACCTGCCCTGAGTCGGCTAGGCCGACTGCATCTGCCGCCTGCCCTGAGTCGGCTAGGCCAATTGGGAAGTCGCCTAACCGACTTTCTCGGTTTCGGCAGCTGCCGATGCATCTTCGGATGATTCGGTACCTATTGTTGATCATTCTCTGGAGATAAAGAGCAACATTATGCAAATCAAGGACGTGCACTTTTCCAACATGATCAACAAGGTAGAAAACACAAATATTTTGCTCAAATTCCAATCAATTCATACTATTTCAATTTTTGCATCTATTAGAAATATCCTTACTAATTGTTGTAATAGACTGATTGAGAATAGCAATTTATTTGTTGATGATAAAGCAAATTCAGATTCTATCAGCCAACACATTGTGTCATATGGCAAGGCCAATAGTGCTAGTTTGTCAAAGCTAAAGCTTCTCAAAAACAGCTACAAAGGTGTGGCCGAATGGGTTGATGTTAAATCTAATCCCTTTATTTGCCTAGCTTTAAACCCGACTCCACAAAAGAATCGGCTAAAGAAATCAAAGTACACCTTTGACTTTAATTTTTGTGATAATGTCTTTGATATCTTGCTCAAGAATAATTTTATTAGAATCATTGATCACAATGCTTTACCATCTGTTAAAAATTTAGAAGAGCTTACATATTGCAAATGACACAATTCTTCTAATCATAATACCTCTAGTTGCAATATATTTCGTCGAGTGATCCAATCGGCCATTGATAAAGGACGATTGAGATTTTCTGAAGCTCAACAAATAGACCAATTGGATTCAATCGGTTTTGATGGAAAAAAAGGTTTCGAATCGGCTTACATTAGCCGATTCACTCAAAGCTCAAAGCTCAAATGACCAAGAGAGAGATGTGGAGCCCTCAAGTGAAGACAAGGTTGTTGTCCATGAATTGAAAATAGAAGATATTTTAGAGGACAACAAAGTTATCACAATTTCAGAAGACACTTGGGGCATGTGAAATCTCTCTGACTGAAGCAACGGCCGATTGATCCCGTTGAGCAAGAGGAATCGGCTAAGAATCCTCCTTTGGAGCATGTCTGTCAAGATGGGGAAGGGAAGGAGGGTGCTCACAGAGTTATTGGAGGTAGAGGCCGTGACAAGAAGAAGAGTAGAAGGACGAAGCTCAGCTTCGAGGAACTTTTAGCTAAATTAAAAAAGATAGCAGAAGCAAATGTCGCTAATCCGCCAAAGGAAGTCCAATCGATGGCTATATATATGACTGAATAGCTAGTGATCATGAACGACGACGTTTACGTACCCCCAGAGCTGCGGCCGCCGCGAGGCATGGCGGCTGGCGTCGGTACGGTGGTGGTTGGGATCGGTGGCCGCCGGCGACGGGACTGGAGGAAGGAAATAGATGGAAACGACGGGTGTATGGTCGTATGGATAGATCGAGGAGGGCGTTGGTGGCTTATATGGGGCTAATGCTGTCCTTTAATTTATATTTATATACATCCATGATCCATCTTCTTCTTCCGCAAGTATCAATCTAGGAGGAATATGGATGAAACATGGCCCCTCGCGATTTTACTGGAGGCGGTTGACACATGCATATGCATAGTATATTATACTTGTACCGGAATCTTCAATAGTTCTTTCTCTTGGTGCATTCATTTTGTTTGCGTCTAGATATAATATAAGTCTAGATAGGCATCAAATTTTATGTTTCAAAAAAGTCAAAACGACTTATAATTTAAAACGGATGGAATATTTGGTAAATCGATGAATTTTCAAAGTGGCGAAAACATTTATTGGGTTTGTTTTTAACCGTTTTCAAAGTCTAGCTTCTAAAAGATATAAAACAATTCGGTAATGCTCCGCTGCGCGCGTCTGTCCTGTGCCCGGATACCGGACGCTACGTGACCTCACATTATCCATGTATTGTACCCAGCACACAAATATCAGGTACCCGTCAAGTAGCCACTTAGACTTATTCTCTCCGGTTCCATCTCATCTCTCTCTCCTCCATCTCTCCATTCAAAGCAACAAGGAGAGGAAGGATGTCGCTCGATCTCGCGCAGCCACCCGCCCCGCGCGTGTCACGGCCATACCCCACCTGCTCTCTGCAAGCTGCCGGCAAGCTCCGCGCGTGCCGCCAGAGAGCCCCGTGTTGCTGGCGACCTCCGCACCGCCGACATCCACGCGTCGTCGCTGAGCTATGCGCTCGCTGCCGCTAGTGAGCCGCGTGTTGCTGGCAAGCTCTACGCCGCCGAGATCCGCATCGCCGGTGAGCTCCACACTGGCAACCTCTGTGGCATCGAGCTTCATGCTGGATCGAGCTCCACGTCGATGAGCCTCGATTCGACCAAGCAACAAGAAAATGTTGCAGTGAAAGTGCATGTTATAAGCGTATGTTTCAAGAGTT